CCCGCCCGCCCCGACAACGTCCTCTGCCACCCCACAGCCAAAACACCCCTTACCACCCACGTGAAACACAGCACCAACCACCGTCCCCTCAATCACCCGGGAGGGTGGGGGGGGGGAGGGGTTGCCGGGGGTTATAGAGGGGTTAGACGGGAAAAAAAAAAACTTGTTCCAAGTGTGCGGGCTTGGTCGCCCGCGTGTCCGATGCCCCGGGGACCTGTCCCGTTCTTTCGAAACCGCCTGGACGACCCCCATTTTGCATTCAATGGGGTTCAAAGGCCGTTTAATTTCTTAGGCCTCGTTGAACATGTTACTCAGCCTATGGTGAGTCCACTGAAATGAGCACTGCTCACCCAGAAGGTCAGCCCTGCAATGAGTTTGATGCTCAGAGACCGACTTCGAAACAAGGTAGGCTTTGCCGCACTGCTCACCAGATAGCCGACCGCTCAAGTGCGAGACAGCACAAGTAACCCATACTGTTACATGCACTGGGCTCAGCAAGGAGCAAACGCAACAGGGAGCGAGCACACATCCATGCATATTTTGACCCCAATACTGCATTCCACTGTGCCGATGAACGGATACTTCGATGCTCAGAGACCGAGTTGGAAACAAGGCAGGCTTCGCCGCACTGTTCACCAGATAGCTGACCACTCAAGTGCGAGACAGCACAAGTAACCGATACTGTTACATGCACTGGGTTCAGCAAGGAGCAGAAGCAACAGGGAGCGAGCACACATCCATGCATATTTTGACCCCAACACTGCATTCCACCGTGCCGATGAACGCACACTCGTGAAGAGAATCTCCAGCAAGTCAATGTCAAACTCACGTACCAATGCCTGAACCAGAGTACAGCACCAGATTGGCAACAGCTGTGTGACCAGTGCATTCGACTGGGAGCAGGCTAACTGTTAGGCGGTTCTCACAGGTATTTCTGGAATAACTCTGTCTCAGAAGGGCACCAATGGAAAACATCTGAGGGATAGGAAGATAAAATGTGTCTGCTACTGGCGGCAAGTCTGCTGATACCAAGTATGAGGTCCAGGGATCAAATCCTGACCAGAACTGTAAAACATAAACTACTTGTCTGCAACGGTTTCACCCAGTTCGTAGGACGATAGCAGAACCGAGGGATGGATCCCTAGACCTATCCCCGAACCGTGTACAGCAACCGTTGACCCCATTAGCCTCAGACCCGCGACCTGTCCCTGAAAAGTCATAGGTTAGTAAACCGTTCGTTAGTTTTGTCATCGGGACTTCCGCAGCACCTACGTGACACCCGCGACCTAGGCAGCGGGCAATTCGGCCACCGCGGCCAGGAGGCCTAGTTTGCGGCCCAATTTTTTGGATATTTTATTGGGGGTCAAAACCCTACAACCCCATAATTTTTGTTTTTGAGTTTGACTTGATTTACGAATTTAAAAAAATGAAAAACGAAAATCGGTTAGTAAGAAAAAAATAAAAAATAAATAAACGAAACGTCGAAAAGCAGAAATTCGTTTCCCCTTTTTTTTCATGACTGATAAGCAGTTCTCCTAAAAAATTTGCACAGGTAATTTCCTTTTTTCTTCTTCGTCTTCGTCTT